AGTCAAGCTGAGGTGAGATTTTGTTTGCGCCTTTTTTGCCATGATAGTTCCCTTTGTAAGTTCTATTTTATCGACTGATTGTCTATGTGACTACGACATGTTCGAAGGGTTTTGAAACATGTTGAAATCCTCTTCACTTTGTGGTTGGAATTTCCGTATTCCGACTGGTAATGTTTCCATTATTTGCCTCGGCATTAAATTTTGGACTTACAGCAACAGAATTACTCTAAATACCTTCAAATAAAGCTTCAAATAAATTAAATAAAACTACGACAGAACCTCTCACATCGAAATCAAAACCAGGAAATCATACTACCTCAATTTAAATTATCTAATATGGATTAATGGCACAATCCAAAAAAAAAAAAAAAATAAAGTCTTGCCCCTATCCTTATATGGCCCCAATATAAGGAAAAGAAAAGGAAGTTCATATGTTGTTTTTTGACAACCATGTACTTGTGTTTTTTCTTTGAATGCAACTGTTAGTTTCCATTTCTTGTTTGTTTGCAACACTACTCTCTGATTAATTAAACTACTTATTGAGTTGCGGTCGGAACCTTTTTATTTTGTTTTAAAAGAATTTACCTTGAAATTACTTACGGAGCGAAAGCTTTAAACAAGAAGAGATTGGGACGAGACAGGTTGACGAGACGGAGATAAACCAGAGATAAACCAGTTTTTCTACTGTACGGTTTATGAGCCAAGATAAAACAGTGCTTTCTAACTTTGCAATCGATTTACCCATCAAAAACCTGGTTTGACCGGTTTAATTTATCTAGGTTAGCTCTGCTTCTCCTGTGGCTCGTCACGAAGATGTTCGTAAACAGCAACTGGCTGCGCAGCTCTTCAGTGGTGTCACAGAGAAACCACGTTTATCTTCAGGAAGGGGTCTTGTCAATAAAATCACTAAAACTCAAGGCAAACCAAGGACATCAGCTGCTGATCCTGGATTGTCTTCAGCAAACGGTAGAGCGATTTACTCATCTGAAACAAGTTTAAAAGCTCCTGATAAATCAAATATGGACCTACTCCTTGATGTTGAAAACGGCGATGTTTGTGATGTTGCAAAAGACGACGCTTCTTCCCTCGAGAATGATCTTATTTCGTCTTTAAACGATACAGAAGACAAGCCATCTTCACGTGACGAAGTTAGGTCATGGTATTCCCAAGAGGCAGTCGATTCAGACTCTTGCATGGTTATAACCCAAAGAGAGCAGGAGGATTGTCATAAAGCTGTCCAAAAGGTATGTTGTTGGCTCACACATATTTTCTTTAGCTAATGGTTTTTTTAAAAAGTTTTCAGAGTGTTAAGCGAGCAGTATATCGTAGCTTTTTGTTTTTATTAATTTTAATTAGCCGCTCTAGACTCGACAACATGTTGAATGCTTTTTCTCAAGGGTGAGACCGAGAAGGGTAATTTGTATGCATTTCTAAAACGAGAATGAAAATCATGCCAACGGTGGCCTCCATTATGAAAGAGGTCTAAAGTTAATAAAAGAATCAGATAACGAACGAGGGAGTCGTGGAGTTCCATCTTTTTCGAGGAATCAAGAATATGTTTTGTAGGCTGTTTCTTGCGTGAAATCCTAAATAGCGGGGAGGCTGTGATCGTAGGGGCTTTTTGAGTTTTGTTTTTAAAAGACAGGATACTCTCACAATGTAGCTCTCCAGCAAGGCCTCTTAGTAGGTAGCAGTGACCTGTCAATGCCTCTAAATGGGTCAAGGTGACCTGTATAGGGTTGGCATGCGATCTAAAAGAAGTAGGAATACTTCTTGTCGCTTTATGCTGCAGAAAGGGAAGAATCTCTGGTAGTCGGCGGCAGGAACATTTGGGTCACTTCTTAATCTATTCATATATTTTCTCTATTTTCAGAATACACCGTTACTTGATGAGGAGATCTCGGAACATCTCCGATTGGAGCTTAAAGGGACGCCATCTGCATCTTTGCCGGGAGATTTGATTAACTTCCCGCATTCTGCGGAAGTTTTTGAATTGTGTTTTGATAGCAATCTGCGTGTGACTCTTCAAAAAGTTTGGAAACCTTTAGAACTTGTACTGGTTCTTTACTTTACCAATCAGAATCAAGCAAACGTCCCGATCCATAACGTCAGCAGTGTGTTACAACCGCCCTCGAATCTAATTGGATCGTTTGATTCTTCGTCAAATAGCAATCTTCATGATGAAAGCATCGGACCTCTAGAATGGGTAATACTTTTATTTGCGTGTTTAATTGATAATAAATGTTAGTCTTTTTTCTTACTTTTTCGTTGTTTACTAATTTAAAAGATGAAGAAAACAACTTTGATAATTTTCGATTTATTTTTTGAGGTAAAAATTAGTCTTGCAGTCTCTTAAGACCAGAAAGAGCGTTTCGAGCTTTCTTAACCATTGGAGCCCCCGACTTCTGGTGTCTTTCCTGAGTTTTCCATTACAGAGTCAAAAACCAACAGTTTCTAAAGAGTTATCTACAAGTATGCTGTAAACTGAAAGTCAGGTGATGATGTTAATGCTTTTATATTTTATTATTAGGTAAGGCACCGAGTTGTTTTGAAATACAAGTCTCCAGCGCTGCACATGAACTTTGGTGGTAAGATCTCTTACAAAGATCCTAACAGAACATTGAAACATTTATTCTTTAATCACATTTTGAGCATAGGTGATATTTTGCGGCCGCTTGTGATAACCACAGAGGAGTACGGAGAAAAATGGGCTGAAGCTTCGTTTGAAAAGAAACAGAAAATTCCGAGCTCTTTGAAAACTTGCCAAGAATTCGCAGAAAGAGTGAGAGATGTGCTGAGATTTCACCAGGTGGATTTAATAGGTGAGAAGTCTTTTCTGTGTCGCAGCTGACTTGTGGCTAATTTTTAAGCAAAACTTATCCAACGTTTTAGCGATGATTTAAAAAGACTTAAAGAAGTTAACACAGCCCCAAGTTGTTATGGGTATGGTTGCTTATGTTTGCTTATTGTCGCTCTCGGGAAGCTCGCGTTTTGGGTCCAATGTAATGAGAACCCATGATGATTCCTACCCCTCTATCGTGTTAAAGAAACCAGAACGTTAATCAAGTTATGGTAAACAATTATTAGTTGGTCTTGTTTGAAGAGGTGTGATAACTGTCTCCGAAGGTTTATGTTTGTGCGAGCAAAACTAAAGATTGCAAAATAGTTGACAGAAAAAAAAAAGGGAACAAACATAAATTTCGATAAAAACAAACATTACTTTACGCATTCCGTCATTCTTCTTTTCTAGGCACGAAAACAATATTTGCTGGTACCGTGATGGAGTGTGGGATATGCCTGATGCACGTCAGCTTTGGTGGAACCGAGTTTGATATGTCAATCAAGTCCAATAACAGACTGTTAAACGACGCGGTGATGAAACAATGTGTGACTGTCTTAAGATGACATGCGAATGAAAGCCACTGCAGCTCTTAATTTTGGCCTTGATTTTTTGAGGCAAACGAGGCTTGAACCTGACTCCTTTGACTCCTCTGCTTCCTGTACTTTTTAACGATAATTTGGTCAGAGATTGCTTTGATGAACTGGAAACGTCGAGTGGATTATTCGCTACGTGACATCATAACTCATGTATATATCATGTCTTTGACATCTATTTTTTGCCCTGATGTCTCGGAACTGCTTCTTTTGATTCTAACGAACTGAGAATTTAAAGATTTTAAAAGAGGATTATAATTGTAATATCTACGTTATTCAAATTCTATCAAAAAAATTAAAATATGAAAAATTTCTTACAAATGAACTCAAAAAGCATGGATTTAATATACTGGAAAAAGCTTTGAGTCCTTGAAAATATCTCGGCAAAACTTTGCGACTCTTTTTAAAGCTTTCAGCAGGTACGCCTGGAAGAATGAATACAACACGCCTTTTTAAAGACTTGTTCATGATTATTTTTGTTCCTCTCTGTTCAATGTGTATGTCAGTGAGGCGGAAATTTCACGATAAGGCGAGAATCTGATATTCTTCAGTCTACGAAACGTTAAAAATATGTCCTAACGATATGCATGAGGATTTTTCCGTCATTATTCTTCTTATCTTCACAAATCACCTTCGATACCTGAGATTACAGACGTTTTTTTTTCTAGCCGTAATTAAATTGGCTTCATAGCTATGATGTTAGAAGTACATGCAGAGGGATCAAGAAGTCAGTGTAAACAACTGTTTCTGTGATAGGACTCATTGTTGGACGTGCTTTTGGCAGGAAATCTTATCTTGACAGCTCATTGCTTAATTGGCGTAGGTTAAGAAACGTAATCATTTTAAAGACGATCTTATGACTTGGCGGTAGTGAAACTCTGAACATCTTATAATTTCGTACACTCTCTTGCAAATTACTAAAGATAATCAGTTGGTTTTATACCAAGATTACACCCACTGAGTGCGACTAATAAGCTTCACTATCCTCTTCAGCTATTTTCTTGGATAATCTATTGAACCTAAGAGGGGAAGTCACAAGTGAATCATTTTTGAACCGGAAAAGGATTAAAGTGCATTGCACAACATTCGTGGTCGTGGTCGTGGTCGTGGTCGTTTGTTACTACGAGCCAAATTAGCCCATCTTAATGGGAAAGACAATCGCGAAGTGCTACCTTAATGAAATAGATAAACACCAAAATGGGATTGTAAACCGAAAGGAAACGGTTGCAAGTGAGGATACGGATGGACACCGATTGCATTTAACCAACACGAGAGGCTTTGACTGAGATTTTCACAACGGGCCAAACGTGACAAGAAACGCGGAACGTGTCTGCATTTATCTTAATGATCGGATTTATGTATATCTAGCGCGGAAAACGGTCTTAAATCGTGATGTTATCGACCTTCTAGGACTTTCCAGGGACTGAGTTAACGATGTGTTCGCACCTTAAAGTATAGATAAGAGAGATGTTATCTCAGATTGAGAACATGTCCAGCGGTTAAGTAATCCCGTTTTAGCAAAGGAAAGGTTCATTACATGACACGTTAAAGCGCTTTTCAATTGCTCTTACCTACAAAACAGGATCAAAACAGAGAGCTGTCATTGTTGGCTGCAAAGCACGTCTCAAAATGCTTCGGTTGTTTGCCTTATGCGCAGTTCTTGTGTCAGTGAACAGTCAAGATGTTGGGATTAATTCTGGACGTACTCAAAAACAAACCCTTCGTCCCAGTCAGGGCAAATCATGCAACATAAACAACTACAACAGTTTCTACGCTGGACCAAACAAGAAAGTTGAAAACCTTCTTGTTGACGTAAAGAGGCAGTTAGAAGAATTACAGAAGCAGGTGGCTCTTCTGACGAAAGACAACAAGACTAATTTAGATGGTTAGTGTGACACAATTCATAATTTTTTTGGCTCACGGAGAAATTCACCCGGCATAACCTGTTGTATATCGTTCTTTTGCTTCTTATTGCTCTACTGACATAATGTTCAAATACTATTCTTTACGATCTACTTCAAGCCCTAATGATTCACCGATTCGCACTAAATTTGAGGCTCTCAATGGGGTGATGGCTTTTTTGGCTTAAAGTGAAAAGTTTGGTCAATTTACAGTTAGTATCTCTCCATTGTGGTCTCCAGAACATGTTTTACGGTTAACTCTTTTTACGACTTACGGTTAAAATTGGACAATCTTTACGGCTAACGGCTTAATTGTTTGTTCGTTTTACGGCTTACGGTTAACCGCAACGAGATCCTCGAATCTGGCAAGCGATTGGAGGCAACTAGATTGTAATTTTTGACTTGGCAGCGGGAACAATTCCCGTTGTCAGCAGTAGCACGTCTTATTCTTAATCTGGCTTACGCTCCTAAACAAGCGTGGAAGGGACCCCCCTCCATCTCCATCTCCGCCTGATTTTGATATTTTTGTAGGTTTTAAATCCCATGTTAAAGTAATATAATCCGGATTCATGTTTTTGTTTTTTTTCTGTTTTTTCTTTTCAGTAAATTAAAGATTTGAGACAAATTCTCATGTTTAGTCGACTAAATCTTCTTGTATCATAGGAAAGCCCCGAAGCTGTGTGGAGATTTTTAAATCTGGACAAAAAATCAGCGGTGTCTATACAGTTGACCCTGATGGTGCAGGTGCCTTTGAAGTGTACTGTGACCAAACAACAGCTGGTGGTGGATGGACTGTGTTCCAGAAGAGACAGGATGGCTCGGTTGATTTCTACCGCGACTGGGCTGACTATAAGAATGGCTTTGGTAACCTGAATGGGGAGTTTTGGCTTGGACTGGACAAGATTAACCGAATCACAAATAGTGAGAGATATAGGCTTCGAGTGGACATGGAGGACACTGAAGGAAAAACAGCTTACGCCGAATACGACATGTTTTCAGTCACAAGCGAGAAGACGAAGTACCAGCTGAGCATCGGGACTTATTCAGGTCGGTTTTCTTTCTCTTTTGTAATATCAGGAATACCTTGAATTTCATTTTTGATGCTTTGAATTACTCAAATAACTTTACTTATAGACACATAGCTTACTGATTTTCATTGACATTTAACCACGAGAGATGGGTAATAACAACACCTCCCCACCCACACACACTCGCACAACCCCGAATAAAAGCCTCAACATATTTTGAAAATTGAACTCTGAATTCGGAGATGTGAAAAAGACATTGAGCTATGTATTTTTTCAAGCGAGTTTCAAATTGTCCTGATTAAGCTTCGCGAAGCTTCTGTTTACCTAATAAGGCCTCTAAAATCTTCGTTGAAGAAGGCCAAGAATGTATAAAACTCAAGGACAGAAAAGTTAAGTCTAACGAAAACTCGACTGTAATGAAATTTGTTTTTAACAAAATGCAAAATATCTTAAAATAGGTTTTGGTTAGTCATCGTGGTAAATAGCACTTTCAAATAAGAAATGCAAATGACCACATCGTGGGACAAACGGTTATGTTTCTCTTTTGAAAATGTAAAAAGTTGTACTTTAAAATGCTCATCTCCTGCACTCTCCTAGCTGTGAATTCTGGGTGTATGTTGGTTGCAGGCATTTTCCGTATTTCACTTTTCGAAACCTCATATTTTTTCTCAGGATTTTCAAAAACCTGATAAGTTCCAATTTCCTTCCTTTCCTTTTCAGTTTAAAAATTAACTTTCAGCCTGATTTGTTACTACAGGAGATGCTGGAGATTCTTTGAGTGGCCACCGTGATGCAGCATTTTCCACCAGAGATCAAGATAATGATAATAATGGAGGCATCAGCTGTGCTGTGTCTTACAAAGGTGCCTGGTGGTACACAGGCTGCCACTCATCCAACCTAAATGGGTTTTATTATCATGGCAAGCACTCATCTTATGCTGACGGTGTCAACTGGCAAGCTTGGAAGGGTTATAAGTATTCCTTGAAACGCGCTGAAATGAAAATAAGACCGAGTAGTTTATAGTGGAAACTGCTGCTGTGATTTTGATAAGTTGTTTGTAACGTGATCATAAATGGATATCTGAACGGTTTTTTACAATAAAATTGCTATCAAATAAGATTAGAGCTATTTCAATAGAGAGTCGAAAGCAATATGAAGTTTGCATTGGTTTTGCTTTACTTTGCTCTTCTCATTGACTTTTAAGGATGTTTTCTTACGCTAGTCGCTATCTATTGTATGTGTGGTTGTGAGAAAAATAATAAAACCTGAACCTGTCCAGTTAATTTTTCAACGATTGGCAGATTTATGTCGAAACGATTCGCCCATTCGCTCTCGCAGTATCACGCGACAGAAATTTCGAGCTCATAATCCAACTTTTAGTCAACTAACAACAGCAAAAGGGGCAGCGGAATCTTTATTTCTGATCCAAACCTTTTGATTACTGACAGAAGATCATTGAAAAGGATCGCAACGCAAATTAACCATAGCATGCTATCAAGGGTTTTGAAAATTCATTGGTCACCTGACTAATTGAGTTCACAGTCGAACCTGAATTGATTCTGACCCTTTACATCGTGTTTCATCTTGATACAATCATCAAAAGGTTCATCCTTTGGAGATGCTTTGAGAAACAACAATTAGGGCTTCCTTCGTCTATCCTTTCGTGGGAAACTTGAATCACTTCAATAGTCTGTATTTGCTCATTACGAAAAGTAACTTACGCACCTAAACAAAAGTGGGACCCCCCCCCCCTCTCCTTAGTCCCCTCAGTTTTAACTCGTTCGTGCTGAAAGCAATGAATGAGTTATTGTGGTGAAGCAGATGTTGACGAAAGTTGTCGACCGTGAACGGAAGTTGTCTCGTATTCTACCCCTCCCCACTTAGTAAAAGTCACATAATTTCGATGAAGCTCAGAAACTCGCGTGGAAAGAAATGAAATGTTTGTATGATTTAATGAAAATAATATCAACAAATCACATTTCCGAACTTCCGAAAAGGCAACTTGAATTTAGAGGCCGAAATGTTCACACTTAGACCCGTAGCAGATTCATTTCAACACACGTTATGACCACGCAGAGGGGTATTAGAGGCAGCCTTATTGTTCAGCTGTACATTTGTGTTCGTCTTCATTTGGTATAAAGTGATCATTGCTCTATCATTGTGCTTGTCCTCGGGAGCTCTTCAATATATAGCCCACACATCAATCGAAGCGGCTAAGATAGTCTCACTAAAATTTTTTTTCGAGACCCAATATTTCGGTCCGGACTTAAGGCTCGCTCAAACAAAAACAGCAATACTAATCCGGTCAGTACAAAATGCAGACTGCAGACCGCGTACAAAATGCAGACTAGGTACAAAATGTAGATTGTAGACCGGGTACAAAATGCAAACGAATTTATACTGTTTTTTGGTTTGATACGTGATAACATGTCATCTTACAACTTACCGAGCGTCACGTAATCGCTTTTCCGCGATCATCTTTCACGATTGTTTGCATATATTCCTTGCCCGTTTCTTGATCACAAACACAGAATTTACTGACTCAATAAAAGTAGGTGTAGATGTAGATGTAAGTGAGATGCCACTACAACACGCGCAATATTCGAGAAACAATTGACAGCTTTGCACATGGGCCATGAGTTTCATCTTTTTAACCGATATGTGTTCATTTTGATGAGAAAAATGCGAACCGAGACCAAAACTGTTCCTTCGACTTGATATATTTTCAAGGTTCAGCGGTGTACACACACTGATTTTTACATATGTGCCTTACTGTCATTGCTTACATGAGGAACCGGCCCCACAAACACATACACACACACACCCACACCAACAAAAAGGACACTGTCTACCTAATGCCCTCTACCCATCCCACCTCTAGCCCACACAATCTTTTTTCCAATTCCCATCACGACAAATACACAAGTTTTCTTATCACACAACTGCCCAAAAATAAAAAAAAAATTTATTTCAAAAGTCTTGAAAGTTCACATAAACCAAATTCAACTGTACCTTTATTCAGCAAGTCCAAGAAATCAATGCAAACTTAAGCCATAACATGAATGAGATCCAAAAGCCCTTTGATTAAATTTTTATAAGTATCAAATCCCATTTTGATGTATTATCATGCAGATCTTAGGTTTGTTTTGAATAAAAATGGCTTACTTGCACTCGTAGTTTAGCGCTTTCAGAACACGCGGATGGAACACTTAACATGTTCCTGTTTGCAACTATGCCCGTTGGTAATGATTGTGAATATATGAAAATCATATATGTGCACTACGGTTAAAGAAACGAATATAGAAGCGATCCTCGCAGTTATGAACACTACTGAACTAGTAGTTGAAATAAGGCCTGAAAAAAAAAAAATTCAGGCCCGCTCGGGATTTAGGTTTATTGATCATGACTTTCATTGGTTTGCACATGTGGTCAAAGAGGCCACCTCAATACGTAAGACGTCATCCTAGAAACATCAATAGAGAATTCCTGAAGTACGAATGCCTATTATCAAAATGCACAAAAGCCGATCAGTAGCAAAGCGGACATATAAGGAAACAATATCGATGAGGATCTAAATACATTAGTGACAGCGCGCCAAAACACACCAATAACAGTAAGCCAAGGTGCTGTATATAGTTCATTGAATTTGAAGTAATATTCTTGTAATGTCACAGAAACCGGAACCACGTTACAATGTTTCCGTGCAAAATACAATGTACATAAACATGTATCAAGTAGGTGTGGTTCTATTTAATGGAATAAAGGTTGTTATCAACATTTTGTCCGTGAACCTCTGTTCATCGAAGAGATTGGATTGTCAATTAGAATTTGATTAAGGTTTTTGACTGATAAGTTACAATGGGGGCAAAAAAAATTTCCATGCGCCTCAAAGGTGATGTTCTCATCAGTAATCGTTTGTCGCCTAGCCAAGCTAGTTCTTAGTTGAATCTATTTTGATCCTGACGCTCTACATCGTGCTTCATCTTATTATGATCACAACATACATTTTCGAGCTACGGTCATTTCAAAATTGGTAATAAGTAATAACCAAAACCTTGGGGGTATACATGTGAGTAGCTACACTCGTGGGGTGTTCTTAATGTCACTCAAGGAAGGAGTGAAAACTTGCATAGAATTCTATTTTGACTCTTGATTACAAACCCGACCAAAGAGGGAAAGTGGCTGAAACAAAACTGCTTGTCGCCCCTAATTGAAGTTGATAACATTGATTCTGCTTCACAATTCACTCATGTTTCAACGTTATTCACGATGCTTGTTGACTTCGTGGAGATTCAGCAGGAGCAACTTTTGTACTATTCATCTTCCAAGGTGCGCGCGCTAAAATATGAATTAGTGTTTTAAAGCGATGGCACAAAAGAGCTAAAAACTGTATAGCGAATATTCCTCCATAAATGGTTAAAAAACCAAGTCCGATGATGTCCACACCTAAGATTTTGAGATCCTTGTGCCGGACCAATGCTAGAATGATAATCATCCACAAGGCATTACTAACGCCAAAAACCAGCAGAGTTGTATTTCTAAGTTCTACAAGTTTTCCTTTAAGCTCGGACGTCTGATCAAACGCACTCATCTCAGGAATAAGGCACTCTTGTCGTAAACCATTCCAGAAGTTGTACTCGTCACCTCCGTCTGAATTATCCACATCCAAGAACTTTAACGGAAGACGATCCAGCTCATTCCTTGTGCGCCGAATTTTCATTTGTCCTGAAATGAGTAAGAAAACATTGATACATAAATCATCCTAAACCTTATGCAATGGTTATAAGTTGATGGTAACAATAATAGACAATTTAAATGGAAATTATTCTTACGAAACAGTAAAGGATTGAATCTTCACCATTTAAAAAGTTATACCAATATCTTTTCTACCAAAATATAATCTGCGGCTCTGCATAGCAGGCAGCCAGGATACAAAACAACATCAAATGACAACATTCGATCTTAAAATTTAGCCTATTTGCTGGTTAGCTTATTTCTGGAAAAGTCAAGACCCAGTCATAACTAATAAAAAAATCAAATGGTTTTAAGAGCATTCTTCTCCCTGAGATTAGAACATTCATGATGGACCACGAGTAAAACAGCAGCGAGTTCCATCTCCAGTCAGAGGAGAGGTAAGAAGCGATGAAATTAATGTATTCATGAGAACATCAGAAATCTTAGGCTAGGGCGTGTTTATCCTCCTGGAATAAGATACTCGACAGAAAAAAAAGAGAGCCTTGTAAACCGCAACGACTTATTACGGAGCATGCTTTACTCTATGGTGGTTAACACACCTCGATTAGGATATTGCAATTTGTTAATGAGAGATTTCAGTCGATTTAAATGGCCCGGTTTTCGGATGAGCAATGTCTCCTTAAGTTTCTCTTTGCTCATCTTCTTTAAATCCACCAAGTCGCTTGGTTCTGCATATCCGTTGGATCTGAACAAAGGCCAGTATTCTTCGAGACCATGTTCTTGTAACCAAACCTCGACGTTTTCCTGTTAAGTGACGAAAATTAGAAAAATAAAATCAATTAAAAATTGGACGAACGGAGGAACGTACGAAAATATGGGTGGATAGGTCATGGCCTGCACAAATTTTCCATGGCAAAAACATGCTCGATTAATAAATCAGAGGGTAGAAAGGCATTAGCTACGTTTTAGAGGAGGAGGAACTTACCGGAATGTTCTCTTCGATATCAATGCGCGGAATATTCTTGATATCTCTCATTAGTTTCTGTCTATGTCCTATATTTTGTATACCAATCCTTTCAAGGTCCTAAAATGAATGGATTGAGAAATAAAAACAACTTAATTATTGTTGCACATGTAGCCAAGGAGCTGGGAAAACGTGTTGCAGGAAAGTGGGTGCCCCTTGTCATGATTACATTCCAATAAAATTGAAAATGCGCTGCAGAAGCAAAGGAAGTATCGATGTATACAAAGCAAGTCTAACTACTTAGGAAAATATGAAGAACTTTTCATAACCATCGAGCACTGTAACAGTGAGTTGTAGTGTCTGATTTTAGCAAATGATTCGATCTTCAAACTGTTGAATTGCGAAATACTGTCATTTTCTGCTGCACCGGCCCAAAAGAGATGAAAACCCAGAAACCACGTCAAATCATGAAAAACTTGAAAAATCACTTAACTGTTGACGTATTACTCCGAAAGAACCAAGGAAAACCAAGAAATGCACAATATCATTTGTTTGTTTGGTTATTTCTTCTTTTGTTTTTCAAATCCTACTTGCCACTAGGAACTTGCCTCTAGGAACTTACCTGGTCGGTCATTCCAGCGATAAACTTTGCTTTTTCATATCCATTTTTGCGGAAGTTTGGAGCATAATCCTGTAATGATTCGGAGAACAATACAACAATATCTGCGGTCGAACTCAAACGCATGGGACCAGACATGTAGAAGTTGGGCAGCAGTAGTAAGGCCTCATCGGAATAGGGCAGCTGACGGGTGACTAGAATGTTATTGAATAAAGTGACCGTACCGTCTTTTATTCTACATTATCTTCGTTATCTCAACAGACTTATCATGCTTATATCTCATCTTATTGAATAACATTCAGTATTTTTTTCTTTCATGAAAAGAACAGAGTTTGAGGGACTGGGACGTGATTCGCTTTCTGTTTCGATGAGAATCGACTGAGTTTTACACGGAACAACTTTAGCTGAACGATCAGAAATTTGATGACGATGTACATGATTCTTTCTATATGTAGGAAAACAAAAAGATCTGGAATAGCAATAAGTATGATAATAATTATAATAATAATAATAATAATAATAATAATAATAATAATAATAGAACCAAGAGCGTATTAATAAAGAAATTACTTTTACCTTCAAATCGTTAGGTATCCAGTCCTCTACTGGAGAATTTGGATCAGAGTGAGAAACTTTCTCGAGAGCTGACCCAGGGCGACTGATTTCGCCTTAAAGAGAAAAAAATTGAGCTGGAGAAGGGCATTATAAATCATATACCGTACTAAAAACCAAATGACGAGAAAATTAAGGTGGTTTCTCTCCTACTTATTTTGCTAGTTTCCTCCAACACCCAAGATCCTTAACTCGCACATACCGTGAGCCTTATAGCTTCTCAAATATTTCGTAAATGAAGATTGTTCCATGGGAAGTGCGCACGAACGATTTTCATTCACGAGTTGCGATGCACCAAAAAAAAAACGAAAGAGTGAGCGCAGCGAACGAGTGAGTTTTTCGTTGTGTCTCAACGAGTAAATATTAATCGTTGAAGCACTTTCCATGGTATGATGTTTTTACTTCATACATACTTAGATTTTTTCTTACTGACCGACACATTTCAAAGACTGAAAGCGAACGTTTGTGAAAATACATCGTTCTTCCAATTAGAGACACGAACGATAGTGCTTCACAGTGCAAATCTCAATATGTGTGAAATAACTTCATATTCTTTTCATATGAATTATCGCACAGATCTCATGCGCAATTTGGCATTATTAAAGGAAAAGAAAACACTGCAGTCCACAGCACTGTAAGGATAAAACGTTTTCTGTCGCATTCTTGATTCTTACGGTATATAAATACCTTCTGTTGGAACTGGAAGCTCGGCTTGAGATGTATGCGATCGTGAACTTATCTCCAATTGATATTCTGAGCTGTCCACAGTAATTGATTGCGACGACTCAATTTGTGTGGAAAATATCACAGGGATTTCGTGTTGGCTTTTCTCTATGCATGTTTGTTTGATCTGCGGATTCTCGGTGGGTTTTGAAGGTGTTCTTCGTGGAATAGCAGGGAGGACAAGTTTGGATGGATTTCTTGAGACGGAAATGGTTTTGAGACTGGCTTGAGACGGTTGTGTTTTATTTAAGCATGTTGGAAAGTCCTCAATGGAACGATTGCACACGTCGTACTCCTTAGACATCCTTTCAAAATTATCTTCTTCGTCAATAGGTGCCATCTTTCCCTCACAATCATCAGCCCAGGCTTCTTGGACAGAGATTCGATTTTCGTTTGTGATATTTTCCTTATTTCCTGTCTGCGGATTAGAAGTTGATGGTATGACTTCATCTTTGATATCTTTATTTAAAGTGGTAGCAGGCTCAGACGATTGGCCGGATGGCTGTTTGTGGAACGTGGAATTTTCATTAGCATTCATCGCAGCAACATTGGACGGCGAACTTTTTGATGATCTGGCTCGTTTTTTTCTTGGGATCTCAGCTGCAGAATACATAACATCTCTACAGATCTCACTTACTTTTTGAACACAATCATCTTCAAAAACTGAACTCTGTTTGTGGCTCTCCAACTGTGAACCGTTTGCTGATCTCTTCTCGCTTTTTGCGCTCGGCACTCCATCTTTTGCTCTATATGTATCCATAACTGAAAGGCGAGGAACGTTTGTTTTGTCTTTCTCAGACACACTTTCCTCTGTATCAAGAGCCACCCCTGTGTTCTCGTTTGCATCTGATGGTCTTGTTAACTGAAATTAATGAAAGCTCCTTAACATATCCAGTGTAACGAAAAGAAATATGACCTAACACTAAGTAAAACAGACGAAGGGAACCCCCTATGTTACGATATTATTCGCGGCGTACTTCTGTAAAGAAAACTCGCTAAGCTACGAAATTCCTCTCGCAAAAGTTTCTCCAACTGAATCTATGAGCAAGGGATAAAAAATGAAAGAGAAGCTATTTTTGCGAAAACTTTAGGGAGTTCAAAGTTTTTTTTAAGGTATCACTGTAACTTCGTTGTGAAGATAACATGAAACTTAAGCCAAGTTAGAGAGCGTCAAGGAAACTACATGGACTTTTGTACGCGCACAAATCTACTGCTTTAATGTTATTGCAAGCATAATTTGTGAATTTTTATAGTAAAATTAAGCCGGAAAATCAAATATTGAAACCTCGGCGCTGCAGCAACTGTTTGGAGCTCACTAACCGTTGACAACCTTTTTTTTTTTACTATTTTTGGCTGAATAAATCATTGGGTGATTCTCTTGAGCAGTCAGTTAAGAAACTATTGATTATAATGCTTACAGTAATCACAGTTAGGCCCAAAAACCCTAAAAAAGACAATTACCAAATACATCTCTCGAGTTTCCAGAAGTAAACCGTACTTTTCTAAACGTAGTCTGTCGCTCTATGTAAAAAGGGGGCAAGTTCTAAATAAACTTTGGGGCTGCGTCGGAGGGGGAGTATAACAGGGTATTTGGTACATATTATGAACTGAGTTAATAACATAAATAGGCCACCGTAAAGAGTTTCAAAGCTGACGTCTCGAGCGTTAGCCCTTCGCCACCCGCTCTGATGAAGGGCTAACGCTCGAAACGTCAGTGTAAGTACAAAAAGTACCTTGCTTGAGGAATTTGAAAGTTCCACTGTGATATTGGTTCTCCCTTCTATGATGCTTCCATCTTTTGTACCATGATGTTTCGGTCGGATTTGTTCTGACTCTTCTTGATATTGGCAGCATTTGCAAACTCTCTTCAAACAATTCCAAAATGGCCTGTACCAGTCGTCTCCGTCTGAAGATGTGGACTTTCCTTCTCGTGTTCCTAAAAATACAGTGCGGATTATGCTTGTTTGTTCTCATTTGAGAGTAAAGGTTACAACTTAAGTAAACGCATTACACACCAACCTCCTCCTGCTTCAATTTCGAAAAATAATTCACTTACAACTTGAGCTAGGAAGTTTTTAACTTTTCCTTTTTCTTACTCAGCCCGAAGACATCAAGTACGTAAAGAAATGGACATAACTCATTTGAAATTTGAACAGCCACGCCAATGATGACAATGTACATGATCACAGCAAAGCAAAGGTCAGTATCTTAGCCGCTTTGAGTTGAACGTTTTGGGACGCAAATAAACAGACTAAGATGTAAGCAAGAACCAAAAGGCTCAGGAGAGCCACTGTAGTAATCTCGTTAATAGCAAGTCCTGAGAACACCATTCCACCTACTATGACCAGAATGACTGTGGAGGGTCTGCCGGGAAAAAAAATCATACCGTTACTGTCTCGATGTAAATATACGTTACGTTTCGCTCGCTACAAAGGGGCATGAGGAAAAAAAAATTCTCTGACGTTGAGGGCTGTGAAATAACTAGGATTTGTTTCACTTTCTGTAATCAAGAATCCGAAAGTGTTTAGAGCGTTCAATTATTTGAATAAATACTTTAGCCTACCCAATAACTGTGGAGCAGACGAGGAACGTTTGGTAAAGAATAAATAGAAAAGAAATATGCTCGTTATTCTTCAGTGTCCGTTTCCACTCGCTGACAAGCAGAACAAGATTGGCTAAAGTGGATGGTGTCCATCGTCTACGTTGTTTGTAAAACTCGTCAAAGCTCTCTGGGCAGTAAGTGCTGTCTTCTGCTGCGGCGCAATATGTCAGTCGCCAGCCTCTTTGGATCATGAGTGTACACATCCAGCGGTCTTCACCTTATGGATAGAGGAACATATGAATTCTTGCCTGGTGGGAATTATTTTAATTGATCGAGCATACGAAGTTGATATGTTTCATTTTTTTTCTCACCGACTGGGTATGCAAACAAACTCACCCATGTCTTTCGTAAGAAATTCAAAGGCGTGGTCCACGCCGGTAGAATATGTAGGAAGAACATCTCGTACAGCCTGGCACCTGTACAAACTGAAACATCCGGGACTACACAGTACCGAACCAAGCATATGATTGGCCACCTAAACCGAGATCATAAACATTTTCAAATAACACATACATGAAACTTGTGAAATAAATGTCGATTTTTAATCATCAGAAGTCTGTGGACCTTGCCTTTCATGATCCTAACAAACGTCTTATGAATGTAATCAACCTAATATAATACGAACCAAAGGTTTGGGGAGGTGTTTTATTGCCAAATCATTGGTTCAGGTAATAAATGAGAAATTGTCGCAGTTCATCAACTGGTTACTGAGAAGTCTTCATTTTAATTCATAAATGGTTTTGTGTCCTCTCATCCAATTTTGCTCTTTAAAACCCATCTGAGACTATTTCTATCATTCTTGTCTTTTAAAAAGTTTTAAGTCAATTTTATGGCAAAACCAACGGAGCTGAGATCGGTCTAGGCCCTTTAATAGAAACGAACCTTTTGAAACCAGTGTCCGATGGCATAGTCAAATATTTGATACCAAACAACAGGCCCATCTCCCAATGGATGGGTACGAGCACACACTGCACCCGTTTTGGGGTCCTCAGTGATCTGGTCAATTAACGCTTCAACAGACCAATGGGTAAACTTAACATCAGCGTCTGTTGTAAGGATGAAGCACTGGTCATCTTCCACTACAATATAAAATGCGGAATATGTTGTCACAAACATTCTATGCTAAATTAATGCATGCCTTTGTTACTCTGAACTGAAAGTTATTTAATTTGTATGTTACGAAGGTACCTCTGAGAAGTTCTTGTCGAAAGTCGAGGACGTAGGACATATACATTACTTGGCTCCATCTTTTCTTGTTCTTCACCTGTGTAAAAATGAAAGGACATTCTATCAATAGTATAGTATTCGTGGCAGCCCACTCAGCGATAAGAAGCTAGTATGTATCTAAGTGGCTGGCTGCCTCACGCATTTTAGAAAATTGCAAAAATGGACCTAGCAATTTTGCAATCTGATGATTGAACACCATCTGAACGGTTTACGGGTTAACTTAAAGTAAAATGACAGGATAGAATCTGTTATGGATTACGGTCGGGTAGGTTTGAAGAACAGGTGGAGGAAAACTTTTGTTTTAAAGGTAGAACCGATCTTTTTTGTTATTAAGATTTCTTCGTTTATTAACTTATATATTAATTGAGCAATTTCAAGTTATTTAGAAATTTACCACTGGTGCATTTGAAACAAATACGGAAAGTTTAAAACCGTTATGTAACCTTAGCATTATCTTTAAGATGAATAGTGAAATCCATTCCGCCCTGAAGTTTCCACCTTAGCTGCATGCCGTATGGGGTTTTCATTTTGATACAATCCGTCAGACTCACAACCAACGTCTTTTCCACCAATGACACCAGCTGCAAAACATAGCTGTTAAGCACGTTTGCCCTGATACATCCATCGAAAAACACGTGTGACTCAAAATGTCTTCCTGATTTGGTTCTGTTTATGTCGACATCGTGTATAGAACGAAGGAGTTGCTCCATTTCGTAGTCAGCCTCGTGGTACATTGTCGTACATATGAACACGTGGATATTGTTTGATAGCTCGTTGTGTTTGTTGTGTTCCTCGTCACATGACTGATTTCGTCTGTTTAATAATAAGTACTGTTCAAGGCAGACACCTGGAAAAAAATTAAAGTCTTGAATGGTACTCGAATTTCAACTGGAATCAACTGGTATCATTTCTGCTGAATTTTATATATTTGTCACTAAATGAAAGAGAAATTCAGTAAAAATGTTTCTGGAGAACGGCCTTCATTAGTAATTAGTTTTTAGACATATTCCAATACAACGATGGTTTGATTTGTTTTTTATGGATCAAATGTTTGCAGGAGAGGATACATAAGTTACATTTTTTACATCTGAGTTAAATTTTTTGTTGTTGAGTTTACATTTTTTGAAGGACTTAAGTTAAATACAAACGGTTTTAAGGTCGCGTGTCAACCAATTTAACAGTGACACATTTGCTACCACATATTGATTTCGAAAATACTGAAATATAATTATGAAAAATAGCAACGAAGCTATAGATGTACTCCCCTATGCCCGTGGGCAGAGTTTTGAATAAGCAATTAGAAAACAACAACAACAATGATAAAGACAAAAAAAGAGTTATGCATTAAAATTGATTTTGCTTTCTCAATCCCACTGCTCTAATATAGAATGAAAGATGAGAATGGATGCAAAATAACATACCATTGTAAGACGGAATCCATAGAAGATCAGATGCCTTTGCCATGATCTGTCCTTGACTCTTCCATGTGTAATAAGTGGTTGCAATGAACTGCGAGAACCACAGAAGGAACCCTGCCCCAAGAATGTAGCCTAGATCTGTTGATGCACAAGGTAATGGTAGTATGCTTATTTCATATATCCTTTGGACTTGCATCACGAGGAGAGTAATCGGTGTTGCCAGCGTTAACGGAAGAGCGTATCCAATACGTTGCATGCAAAGAGAACAGCTCAGCCAACCAAAATGATAACCAAAGAAACTCGCAAAAATATGAAGCATGAAGTAGGTTGTTGATGGATTCATTGTTGTCATGGCTTTAAAAGTGTCGTAAATGCTGTCGAGCTCAACAATATCGTAACTTTTGGCGAACGTCATTGCAATCAGAGGTGTGAGAAAAAGTTTCCAAAACGAAGATACAATGGCCGCCTTTCCTCGGGCAGTTTTTATCTTAACAGGAGGACCCCTGCTAGTTCCTCGCTCTTCATCATTGTTGCTTAAAGAAACGCCTGAAACATAGTGTTCTCTTAACGTCGATTGACTGTGTTGTTTGCTTCGTATTTGGAGTTTTCTAAGCTTCGGTGACCAAGCAATGGAAAGGAGAAAAAATGATACAGGAATGCCAATCTGTCCAGATAAGTCGGGTACCTAAACGAAACAATCAATAATAAAGATAGTCGGTCCGAAATGTAATTCCAGCTTCCTTCTGAGATAGCCAGCGAATACATCATTCGGAAGAGTTTATCGTCCGCAATTAAAATTCACAAGTAGATGTAATGTTAGGAAATAAATTTCCTCACTTAAGACATTTTATCACATTCTTGCTTTCATCTCGTATAAACTAAAAGATATTTTATGATTAGTTACCTTTATAGAGAGCATGACAATGCCAGTTATGGCTGAGATAGCAGCTGCAGAAAATTTAATAACATCCAACTTCCCTTGACAAGTTTGCCATTGTGATCGCGATTTGAACGCTTGCCATATCGCCGGTGCCACACTTAAACTGCACATAAGCAGCACAGTTACGTCGGGGTTAACTGGTAGAACAGTCACCATCACCACGACAATATAATTAAGAGAAATCGCTTCTAGGGCTCCGGAAACCAAAATCTGTAATAAAGTGAATTCTTTTACATTTAGAAAGACATATCTTAAGGCCACATAAGCAGATAACTTAACAAACTAGATTTACAATAAAGTTGGAATATAACGCGCGCTGTCATTGGTTGAAAGAGCGTGCTCTATGAGAGTAAAGAGCAGAGAGCTGAGCTAAAGCTTTCACGCCATCTGCCAAATTGTACTATGTTCGACCTTTTCCGGGACTTCTTTTTAGCTTTCTTCCGATAATTGAAAGTGAAATTTCGGAACAAGCGAGCTGGCAAGTAGCAACAGAAGAATCAAATAAAGCTTTGTAAACATACCAGTCGCCGTAATTTACGTTATTAAAACGTGAGCAGATTCGAAAATCCTCAAAGGAAAAACAAAATAGACATTCCGAGTTTCAAAGATTAATTCACGCTCAGTTAGATTGCAAGCTTACGTACGGAAACAAAAATCAAACACAACTAACACTCATATAGTATATAAAGTTCAGTGTTCAAAACAGAACAAAACAGAAATGATGAAAAATATAACCAACTGGCATAACTGTTAAAATTCATTCTAATCATGACGGTGTCTGAGCGAATATCATCATGCTGAAGTCCATCGCGGCTCGCCCGTCATGGTGATCTCCGGTCATCACAGTAAAGCAAGCCTCAGAAACTACATCGGCCGCCCTTCGAGTGAAAAAATAAGAGCTTTCTCTAATATCCTTTCCGATGCATTGAATGGAAAGTCACATCTGTCATTGCAGCCGAGTTTTGCCGCGCTGTCATCCCGAGCGATCTTCATGTTCCGCTGAATTCGACTGTCGTTCATTCAAAAAACATTCGCCCTGAACAGTTTGTTTTCTACCTTGTCATGTGAAAAAACTCGCGTGTTTTTATGAGCAATAATTCGGCTGAAATTCACTGAACATTTTACTTCAAGATTCTGTATTAGAGACTTAAAAACTTCAGGCAAAAGTGTTAAATTATTTTAGTTTATAAACTATCGCAGAATGTGAACTTTGATG